CGGTAGGATGAAGCTTCAGTTTTGTTCTTTTCTAGAGCAACTTATTAATGTTAACGGAGATTCGATCAGATCTTCTTGCTTGAGGAACTAAGGAGAACTCGGCACAACTTTTCTGTTCAGAATGTTCTCGTCATATAGAACTAGACCTTCTCCTCGTGATCGACGACATGAATTCTTCTCCAGCTTGGGGATGAATCGAAACTTTGCGTGAAGAAAGCGGTGATCGGAACCACTACAAAATGATTGGACTACCGATTTGTCAATTAGTCACCATTTTCTGTATGTCAGAATATAGGCGATCTCCGCATACGTTGTTGCATTGGAAGAATCCCATGTGCAGCGGCGGTGTTCTTTTCTCTGGCAAAACGAGTTTCCATGAGAGAGACATGCTGTTTGCAGGAGCCCTGTGAGACGGTTTCCGTTCTCAGTTCCTTCATCTAATCCAAAATTTCTAATCCTACATTCGCTCACGTTAGCCTATCCTATTCTGGAGTTGAATTTTGCGAAAACAAGTTCATAATATACTATACCACTGCGCTTAACTTCCTCCAATTGATAGAACACATCTAATTTGTACTGATCAGTTGCACCAGTCGTTGAGTAGCAACTGGTGATTATAATCTTCTTGTGATGTGACATTTGAAGACGGAGGGCGGCTATGCGAGAGGAAACGATCTCGTACGAGCCCATGAGATGGACAATGTTCGGGTGGACGACAAGGCTTGCGCCACCGACATTTCGTGACGGGACCTTTTCTCCACGGATCACAAGGGTCCCGTTGTTTAGTTGGTGTATTTCGGTCTTCCCGACTTTTTTTGCAGTGCAATCACATAAAATTTGATGCGATCTAGGGTTTCAAAAACAGCGTAAAGATCGGCTTCTGTGGAGAGTGCTCTGGCACTATACGTTCAGAGTAAGAAACTATCTCTATGGCTTGTCACGCGTGTGTTCGTTAGATCAGGTTCCAGTGACACCATGGGTAACCCGAGATTTTGTGGCCTCTCACCTGTCGTCTCACCGACTGGCGTCATGTGCGGTATCCACGGTCTATTGCCTATTGAGCAATTTAGCCCTCCCTAGACTTTTGACTTAACTTTGCAAATGCGTATATTGGTCTTCACGAAAGTACTTTTTGGTCAATATTTCATCGATGGGTATTTGTACCAGTTGTTTCGGAAACAGTGTTAAAGGCGAAATCAGAAACGAACGTAGGAAAAAAGTGGCCGACCCCAAAGGGCGAAGCAAGAGCCGAAAATCTTTGATTCATTACTTAGCTTTTTTAAATTTTAACTTGCGAAAAAACGGAAAGCTTTATTTTGTGTAACTTCAGAAGAACAGAGACAGCTGCTTGTCTGCTCAAAACCTCCCATTTCCCACGATGTGCTCTAGTTCGTTATGCAACTCTGAATCGCAAAACTTTCTTGACCAATGTCGAAGAAGATTTACGTGTAATCGCGAACTGTCTTGAAGGTTAGTCGTATTAATATAATTTCAATGATGCTGAGATATTTGCAAAACTCCGAACCTCAGGTGTCTGTGGTGCAGAACGAACACGCTATTGTCCTTTCCAGGGAGTAACGCGTTCACCACTACACCATGTGGGTCCTTCGTTTAGCCGGTCTCTCAGCTTGTTCTATCGACCTCTTTCGTCAACAATCATCCGAAATTTTGCAGATATCTCAGCATCATTGAAGCTATATTTTGCAATATACCCCGGCAATATATTTTGCATTAAAAAGAGTAGGTAGTAAAGAATAAGTTAAAATTGTAATAATATATTCTTGTAGCGTGTTTCGCTCGAAACCTTAGATCCTGGTATGGTCTCCCAGTTATTTTCCCTATAGTCGATCTATAGACAAAGAAGCTAACGATAATCTTATAAAATGCATGATCTTCGCAGTGAAAAGTTTTCATACCCATGAAATAGAAAATCAGTTCAAAGCAAAGCGAGCGGTTGCGAGTTGGCATTCCCTTAACATCTTATTCTGTTCCTCGCTGATGTAGAAAGTCTGCTTCTGAAATCGTTAAAACATCGCCTTGAATCAAAGTGATTTCAACAACATCTAGCCTCAAAGACTGAAGCACAATTCAGTGTGATTGGCATCGCAATTTCATGCGTGATTTTTCGCCGCGGCCACCATGATTCGTTCTCCAACTCATATCCGCCCAATTGTTTTCTAGCAAGTAGCAGTTGGTCAATCCCTGGGGGATGCGTTATCCATTAGACTTCATTAAGCTTCGTTAGAAATGACTGAATGTCTAGCCCTTACAATGACTTGCGGTGACCTACAAATGCATTGAGCCAGTACTGCTATCTTCTCAGACAAGTCCGGTACCAATTTGCCCGAAGGGATGAAAGGCTTGGTGAGCCTGCGGGCGCGAGATCGATGTTCTAGAAACATCCCGGCGTATTGTAGGGAGCCTGTAACCACTGTGCTTCACGCGACCTGTCTCTGTATTATCATCACCCTATCACACCATTCTAAATCTCATTAAATTAACAAAAATGAAAAAAGTTATTTAATGTAGACATAGTGGTTAAATCTGACACTTTTTCGATGCCATCGGTTCTCTTTCAAGATTTCCTTGTTTATCGCCACTCTGAAAATTCCTATTACTACCTTCAGCAATTATCCTCATTACTTTTCAAATAGAAAAAATGTTGAAACGAAATTGGTATATATATTTTCGTCCATTTGAAGTAATTCACAAAATCCAAAGCCCTGAAAAATATTCCTCTGTAATGCCATGATTGAATGACTGCTGTTTTTACCACATTTCAAATTACATTGATCGACTTTTTATTTACTGCCTGTTATTTTTCCATAACAGGGTTATTATGTAAAATACAACCATAATGATGCCGGGATTTTTCCAGAACTTCAATCTCATGTCGAAGCAAGTCTGGTCTGAGGCTTAATTTTTGCAAATATCTTTTTTTTAGAAAGCGGTGAGTGTGCAAAGCTGTGTTCAATGTGATTGAAATCTTGGTTTAGAGTTTCTTTGTTTGGTTATGGAGGCGTCTGGCCAAGTAGATTGCTGTCAACTTGACCTTTCCAGGCTCTGGGGAAGGCGAAATCCGCCGAAACGTCAGCTCATTCGTGAATAAAGAATAATAACACCTCGCGTTTGCTCAACAAAAATACGAAGAATTACTTGATCAATGCCGAGGTTAATAGAAAGTCGGTCGTGAGAGCCCTGTGAAGAATTGACACGAGCCACAGCAGTGCTGTAAAAGCTACCCATAGGTAACTTTTCACAAACAAATCTTAAGAATTAAAAATAAATAAAGGGCCATATGGAGAAAGTGTGATTTTTCCAACTTTCTTTAAGTAAGTACAACCGCTGAGCTAATTTGCGAGCAACAGGCGAATGAAGCTTTTAAGGGTGCCCGTTCGAACAACTCTTTGTGGTTGCAGGCGACAAAGGTGGTCCTGATAATTATTTCCACTTGCTTCTTCTTTCAGTTCGAATTCGAGCCCTTTAAAAATGATGGCACAATTTTGCAAATGACAAGTTCAAAGCGACATTCACAAGCATTATCCATCCTCATTATAAGATTGCAAACAATACGTTTGCTGATCAGTTCTCAGCGGTTCGGTCGGTAATACGAATTGATACGGAAACGTGCTGAGAAATCCGTTTTGAAATGGCGATTTCGCACTTCGTCGTTGTTTTAAACTCTAATGAGACACATTTATATTGTAAACCGATGGACTCAAGACAGAATAATGCGACAGAATTGTTTGCATTCCTGTGTGCACATCAATGCATGCGTATATTTGGTATGTGATGAGATTCAGGTGCACTTATCCTGGGATCGGATCGCCTGGATGACCCGATTTCGGGCCGGACAACGAACCCCTCGTCTACAGGCGACCACCAGCAAACGCCCTCTCATTCTTAGCTGACTAACCAGCACCACAACCGCCGTATTCGCCACAAACGATCGCGACTACTGTTCAGCCGCTACTTGTAAACTACGTCCTGGTTCAACAATGCATCAAGTTTCTATCACGCTTCTTCAGATTATTTTACTGCCTATATTGGATGCGCAAGCCGATAAGCCTTTGATTGTCGAGAATGGGGGTGAATTGCTTGGCGTTTCTGCTCATATATTGTCATTTGGGCATTCCGCGGGTGGTTTACTATCCGTGCTATTTGTATGCAGTGTTACCACAATTTTAAAGCCAAAGATGGCTCTTCCTGGATGTTTCATGCAAATTCAAGTAATCATAAAAGTCTGGTGTAAAAACAGTCAGCTACAGGCCAATGTCAGGTATCCACAAATTTGAAAACTAAAGGATTATCTGTCCGATTATGTTCTCTATCCCATGTTTTTGAATTCGTTTTGTATCATGAAGGTTTAGGCAAAACAAAAACAGGGAATTTTTCCGGTAGAGTCATGCGGAACTAAAAGCTGACTAAAAGCTGAAAGCATAATGCGTGAAGTTGATGTGACGTTTTTTCAGTGTGACATGGTTTCATGACGCGAAAATCGCGATATTGGTAACGACGACGATACGCATGAAAGATAGGAAACTAAAAGAACCCGCTCGCCTTTCTTTTGAGTGGGTAAACTTGACCCAAAATCGAAATCGAGAGCATGAGTGGTGATTTCTCCACTGCTGACCCAAATGCTATGCTCTAGGTGTATTTCAGAATTCATCGAGTGCGGCAGACATTCCGTGTTATTGCCATGATGAACGGAGTGTTCTTATTCTGAACAACGCTTCATATATGCACGTGGTTTTCTTTAAATCTGGGTAATTAGGTCAGGTGTCACAACACAAGCAAACTCTATATTGTGACATCCTGCTGTATCACATCGATACAATGAATGGTTGATTTTTATCGGGATGAATCGAAATGTAACGAAACGTATGCCGTAAGGAAATTAATAGTCGCATAACACTTCCGTAATCACTGCCATTTTTCACTCAGCAAAAAACAGTCTTCCTTAATAGAATCCAGCATCTGCACTCTTTCTTCTCTTACTTCTGTTTTTTTTTCCAGCTGTTTGCGAAAATAAAGCCACTGGGTTTCTGGTTCTCGATAACACAATCCTCAGCACCGCTGACTCCATAGTCTACAAGGATACACCTGAGCAAGACTGCTTTACTACTTGTTCAACAAACAGAGTGTGTTGAAATTTTTCACACTGTTTGGATTTACTATGCACTATTGTGCTTTATGTTGTTAATAATTGCTGTTTTCCTCTAAATATATTATGATTCGCTCATTTTCCCCACCAACTCCAACGTAGTCTTTGACGAAGTGCTGCTAGATTTCTGCGGGTTCTATTTCATAGCTCACTGGCCTAAACGTCTTTCATTGTTTGAAACAATAGATCTTATTGATGACCCAGTAATCACACAGTATGCTTTTTTTCATTATAGGCTACTAACCTTAACAATGTCACATACTTTTTAAATTATCAATATTTTATCCAACAAACGAACTTTAGCTCGATAACCAATCCTTTATAGGACCAGTTTGGACGCTCCATTCTTTGTGCGTCGTTCGTTTATGACCATTCTTCATTCACTTGCACAATATTTAAAGAGAAAGCGAAACCAGAGGGAAAAGCAGACGTTGTACAAGTAGTAGGCAAACGTTACTTTGAGAAAGTATGTCTAGGAGGTAAGATTTTGATGATTTGTATCATATTTTCAGTACTCATAAAATCCACCATCGACCTACTATAACATGTGACATGCAAATAAACTTTCCCGTTACTAGAAGAAGCTCCGAAGGAATGTGCAGACTCTCAATTTATTCGTGCTGATGATTCCGTGTTGATTGGATTTGCTCGAAACGTTACATTAGTCGAAACCATGGAACAATGTGTGGGACAATGTGTACAGGAAAAGGATTGCAAGGTCAACAATTTTCTCCTCCACAGTTTTTTGCTTACGTTTTTGCTTTCGCAGTGGCTCGAATTCTCTTCAGTACTCAGAGTATATCACGAGGTTTTTCATTATGTTCAGTGTTTACGGTGGGCACACAAATCTGCAATGAAGACCTCGAATTCATAAATAACCTCTTGAAATCGTTTCATTTGCAGTATAGAAAGTTTTTTTTCATTTCGGATAAAAAAGCGTGTCAATTTTTCGTGATAGGGATAAAACCCTCAGTTCTTGGTTTCATAAAATTAATTTTATTGGCTTTGCTTGGAACGTCTCTCATTATTTCTATTCAAGTACAGAGGGCAAGCAGAACAATGTGCAACAAGCAAATTAGAAGTAACATGGAAAATTATTCTTATGAAGTAGTTCTCTACCCGCCACTAACTTTCTTAGACCAAAATTTGACTTGAAATATTGTACCTCTTATTGAAGTGCTGATCCTTTCTTCCTATAACCGTTTAAATGACCGGTCTTCACATTTGTTGTGGTGGTCCAGGACTTTCTGTGTTCGACTCGTTTTTTGGAATTCGCAACGAAATTTTTGGCAAAGCACGAAGCCTTAAAGGCTGTGCAAAATTCTATATGATTGAGCTGCTTAACAGAGCTGGTTTTAAGCCATATACAACAATTTTTCGATAAGAAAAAGACTTCAGGGGTTGAAAGCAAGACGGATTTACAGAAGAGAATTTGCTCCATGGCATAGAGGAATGCTTGCTATGTATGCTACTAATTGCCATAACGGCTATCGTAAAGCTATTGGTACTAAGATATAAAAGTATTTTGCAGCTTGTTTTAAATCCATTTCTGCTTTTGTTTTTGTACAAGCCTATTCCATACTATCTCGGTGACTGTCCAGACTATCGCTGCGATTTAAATTGAAGTCAATTACTAGGTATAGAAAAGAGCTTTTTACGGCCCAGTCTTGGCATAGCATCCATTCTAGACAGGCTATTAATTAGATATGAAAGCATGGTCAAAAAGATCTTGATAGCCAAGTAAACCATTTAAGGGAAGTGCACTAGGTTCAATCCACTCCACTTTGCCTTCTCCCACATTGCATCCATAGCGTGTGGTGCATCTCAGCAGTTGTGCATTAGTCATAGTGGCTTAATGGATCCCTATGGGATAAATAGTTTTATCAAAATTCAGCGTTTACGCTCTGAATGTGACTGCTGAAATTCAGCAATAAAAAGTATTTGCGTCGTTTTCTTTTCCAGCAATCGCGAAGTTGTTATACAGCATACGTTTACTTCCGCCGTAAAACACATACAATACAACAGCAGCCGATGTTTCGACAGTGCCGCCTTCTTCAGAACCGTTTTTTACGTGGCTTCCACTGAAAAAGAGCAGCTGTCATGCCTTTTCTCCTTTTATTAACTCAGAACTGAAATCCCTAATCGAAAAATCAACTTTTGACTGCATTCATCGATTGACATTGAACTACACAAAAATAGTTCCGAACACTGAACGAACATCTGCATTTGTTTCCTACAACAAAAATGTGGAAAGATTATTGTGTATGCGCGATGGTTCAGTACCAATATGGTCGCTTGGTTTTATGTGCAAGCCTTTGATTTGACACCCTTTTTCATAATTTCGCTCCAAAAATTGTCAAGCATTGCTGTGCGATAGCTCACCTTTGTCACAAATCAAAATGGAAATGTCAAACTCCTCAGGTCTCTTTTGTGCACCGCAATTCGACACACAACGAGGCAAAAACTTATATATATATATATATATATATATATATATATATGTACATGGTCCTTCCTCATTTTAGTGGTCCTAGAGCCTGTTTGGCTAACCAGGTTCACCAGTCTGACTTCTAAAACAATGAAAAACTTGCACTAAACTAATTGGGAAACGAATTTGAGCTTTCGAAGTCTTTTTCAACGAAGGGCTACCTGCAATAAATTGAGTTGCTCTATTTGTACTTTGGAAACGGCCACCAAGTAACCTAAAACACTCACCCCCCCCCCTCCCTGTTATATCTGTTATTCATCAAAACCATGAAAATTAAACGGCATTGCACGGAAATTTAGTGCTCCTCTTACTCTTTCATTCGACAGCATTCCTTAATTGCCTAATGAGTACTCTTGTTAAAGGGATGCGACAAAATTAGTGTCACTCACTCCACTTCTTCGGCAAGAAGTGTCCTCATAGAATCGGTGATCTTCTTGTCTTGTGAATATCATTCCGTATACACAGATATCACATCCATTTGTCACATTAGTGATCCACGAGTCTGGTCCTAAGATTCTTCAAGTGATTACATGTTCAGCTCTAAATTTTGATCACCTGTGTAGGTCTTCGCTGACTAACTGACTAAGCTAACTTTTTCAAGTCTTCAAACAACCTCATGTCCCACAGAACATTCATATCGTGAGCTCTTTTGAGCTTGAAGAAGTGAGGTCCTGCTGTATTAATAGTGAAAGTGTACCGGCTATACTTTCTAGTCGTTTTATTAGGCGCTTACGTGCAGTGGTATTGATGTTATTCATCGTGAGAGCTATTCTGGTTCGACTCCACTCTAAGCTTGCTAAGCCCTCCAACCATTCGGAGTTTGTAGATCGATACCAAACTTGTCGGCGATCAACTTACTCGCTGCAATGTACGTGTGAACACCCCAACTCGGCTGTCCCAAGGCTAGACAGGATCGACTAGACAAGAATTCAATGACATTCATGAAAATGACGACGGTCTTCAAACAGCCTAAAAACCTTCATGCCAAGGGTGCGAAGACCATCGTGAATGATGGATGCGATGGAACGAATTGGGATCCGCACAATAGATGTAGAGCCATGTGAAATTACTAATAACCAGCGCACATAATGTTTAGCTTCTATTTGATGCCTATTTTTCTACGGCAGTGTAATATGTGAAATACAAAGAGACTTATGCTGAAACTTAAGCCAAATTCGGAACCTCAAGTGGACTTCGAACGCGCGATTACCCTTGCCAGGGGCTCACATGGTAACTAGCAATTCAACCGAGGCCTTTGCTTTTCATTTCTTTCAGCTATGTTTTCACTCTAATGGTGCTATGAGCAACCATCGTTAATGGGAATAGCATGGGGAGCAAAAGGCGCTATTGAACTCAGCTAAACCGAAACTGTATTCGAAATCACAATGCTTAACTTCTATTTACTGCCCATTTTTTTCATGACAGGGTACCGCGTGAAATAAGATTTGTGCTCAAATCATTCCTAATGACGGGTGAATGCTAATAGTACTGTTGTAGTAAAAAAAAAGCGACTTAGATAAAGGAAAAGCTAGGACCTCAGTTGGTGTCGTAGACAGTACATTAGCCCCGGTAAGCGTAATCGCTTTTTCGAAACCCACCTTAGGTTCCAAGTTTTGCCCATATCCCAGCATGTTCGTTGTTAAGTGCGTATATATATATATATATATATATATATATATATATGTATATATATATGTGTATACATCCATGCATGCATACATACAGATGCATATATATGTGTATATATATATGTATATATTTGCCTACTTATCCAGCAGCTTATTTTTCTACTTCTTGTCACAGCGCTTATTTGTTTAAGAACAGGACCGTTTATTGACTATTGCCAAACACAAACTTTACTATCTAGTTCATGGTATGCGATAAAGAAGATAAAGCTCGAGCATGAACTAGGTACTCCATTGAAATTTTTTAGTCCGCCATGTATTTCTACGAAGAAGGAGAGTGTATCACGAATTCCGAGTCTGCCCTATCAAAACCGAGCTCGTTTGCGAAGGAGGAAAATGAAAAAGTTGTTTATTTTCAGAATGGATGTCTGACAAAGACTAAGGCACAAGGTCTTCTTCTTTCATTACTTTTTTAATGCTTCATTCATTATCGGTGCTGTCGGTGTTTAGAAAGCAGTTTTACATCTGCATCGATAGATTCGAGTTCAAGTACAGAATCACCTGATAATGTGGACGACATGAGAAGAGGTTTTTGCCGAATTCAGTTCCTTCTATGTTTATGCTTATTAACTTACTGCGCTATGTGTTGTTGTTCGTATTCACACGTCCACATTGCCTTCTGCCTCTGATATCCTTCTGCGTTTCATCGACGGGAACTGACGAGCACGTGAGCACGTTTTAGAGCACTCAGAGTATCACATCTGAGAAGGAGAGCACAAAGCCATAGGAGTTGTATTAAAAACGCTCTTTTTTCGTAACGACGTTACTTTTTGAAACTTATTTGTGCGGAACGCGATATTGTGCAAATTCAGTGTATTTGTCGAGTCAGAACAGAAATCACTGGCTCGCGCAATGTCGTACAAGTTCCCACTGAAGTAATTCTGAACATCTGCGAACTTCTCAGTATTCCTCTTCGTTCAGTAACTGTCTTTCATGGTTTTGTAAAATGATTCAAAATTTGAGTTAATTTAAATCCAACTGCAAAAATTTTTGAGATATCAGCGAAGAAGAAGAGACTGAAGTGGGCGGCACATCTGAGATAACCTCGAGTCCTGTTGATGTAACTACAGCTGACATTGAGGTTGATCACTGATCCATTTGATTAGCACAGTTTCTCATATGAGCACACAGACTTTTAGACTGGAACAAAAGTTGTGAAGAACGACGAAGACTATGTGACTGATGTAATTCCAACTGACAACGTAAGCTTTTATGTGGATTTTGTAAATTATAACTGAGTCTGCACGGGCCTTCATAGAAACAGTGCATTTTCTTAAAAAAGAAAAAATAATACTCTTCCTTGATAAAAACTTTCAAGGCCTCTACTTCTGCTGGAAAAGTCAACAAAATAGGAGAAAAGGCCAGCTACATCAAGTATGACTAGATAATATTCTTGTCATTGCCATTTTATAAATAGATTATGTTCTATTTAGGTACAAGAAACATCCTAAAAGCTACTCATTGAAGGCGTCAAAGTTAAGCCGCGAGAAGCAGTCAAAGGTATCTTGAAGATTGCTGAATTCGCTTTTAGAACTGTAGTAGCTAACACTCAATGAAAATAAGTACGTGTTTTGAAGATCAGTTCAAAGATGAAAAAACTAGGTAGAAATATATCTGTATTGTATAAGTGTCGGCCACACGAAAAGCGGGAACTTCCAGTGTGCCGTAGAATAGAACCTCAGAATTCTTTTATAGTCGTCAACAGTGGATTTAACAAATGGAGATAGAACTGATGAACGTTCGATACCTTTGAGTAGCCTGAGTGCCGAAGAAGAGGTCAGTCATCTTTTTCGATCGTTCGTCTGGAGAAAATTCCTAGCTATCTTTATGATTGTTTTATTAGATTTTTCATCATCTTTTCAAATATTTGTATGTCATGGACATAATATCTCGCTTCAGACGACTGACTCAGTGGATGCTGATGAAGACGATGAGGCTACTGAAGAATTAGCGATGCCTTCTGGTCGAGAAAAGCAGTCGCGTATTAACACTGCATTGGAAGGAGAGGAGAACGAACAAATTGAGGTAGACGATGATAAGCGACTAGATCGATAGAGAGACGATGATAGACGTAGATTCATGCTATAGTTCCTTTTTAGACTACTTGTGAACGAACGTTAGGGCAAAAAATATTTCTGGGACTTCGTCTCCAGAAATTGATTTTAATCTTACGAAAATTTTAAATTACGGTCATCATCTGCATCATCCCTCATTTGGTTGCCTCGATGGTAGCAGCAAACTTTCTATTTGACCATGTTGCGTAGAAACGTAGTCAATTGGGTTTTGTTCTCCCTAGGATCTCACAGAATTTCATATGTTTCTTTCTGGGTTTTCGTGAAGAATTATGATCTTGTCCATTCGTTGTCGTTCTTAAGTATCACGTCTCTGGCCCATATTCGACTTTTTAATGTGATCAATGGCCTCTCTGACTTTTGATCGTTGACATACGTCGGGACTTACTACCTCTCTCGTTCACATAATACAGAATACTCCCATTGCAATCGTGTTGACTGCGGTTTTGATAGCGACTGCGCTCTTTAATCATCATTATTTGGCTAAAAAATTTCCAAAGCGTACATTAAGGTAAGAGTGCCGTGGAGTCGAAAAGGTTGGCACGGAGTCTGGCGTTCTTTGTTTCTTTCACTGCATCCTCCATGCTTGTGAAAGCTCCCTATTCTGCTCGCTTTCTCCTGCTCGACTATGGTGGTAACTTGTTCGTCATCCTGCTTTCCGGCCTAGTTATACGCTGCTTGCGCATTCGGATACACTCATTCCGTTGAGCGCGAATGGGCCATAAAAAACACGTTTGTTTCTCATGAACATCCTTTCCTTGGAAATAAGTCGAAGCCCACTCTTTCCACAAACGTTGTCAAATTCGTCCAGCTTTAGATTGGCTTGGGTAATCCTTAGTGTTATAAGGAGGACATCATCAGCAAGGGGAAGATGGTGTAATTGCCGATCCCAAACCCGACTTTCTGTTAACCTCGGCATTAATTGATAATTCACTGTTTTTCTTCAATAAGCAGACACGAGGTTGTTAATATAGAATTTATTAGAATACAATAGCTGACGTTTCGGCGGTTTCGTCTTCTTCAGAGCCGTTTATTTGTTGTAAGTATTTAAGTTAGTTGATGGATAGCCGCCGTACAGAGTAATACATGGGCGATGAGCTGCCGATCATCGATTTTCTCTCCTATGTTGTCCACTAGAGCCGCGTGTGGCGCAATGGTCTGAGGCGCGCTGCAACACACACGTGGAATCGATCTCCGTGCCCATGGCCCACCAAGCCATCCCAATCTTTACGGGATCGGCAGATTGGTACCAGACTTGTATGGGAGGACAGGGGCGCTATCTCTATATATCGGTAGGCTACCGCGAGTCATTGTTTAGGCCAGATACGCATTCAATCACCTCCAACGATTCTTAACGAAGTCGAATGCATGGCGCTTCCCTCAGAGATTGATCAACGTTGAAAGCTTTTTCTTTATTTTATCCTTTATTTTGTCCCATTCCAATGTTCGTATGACGTTCTTGAAGGTAGCTGTAATAATTTTGGCCAGATGATCTCGCTTTTGTTGAACTCCTCTCTTTACGTTAGATGTTAACATCTTTCTAGAATGTTGATATTCTGGTTGCCAGATTTGTGTATAGCTCATGAAACATCATGAAACATCTTTACATAGTGAGAAGTGACGCAATGGCTGCCCAGCGATAGTTAATAATGGAGCAAAATACAGTAACACTTGTAATTCTTACTTCATCTGATTTGCATCACTGATTTCACTAAGCGATTGGTTTCACTTTGGTTCTACACTCACATGATTTGTGAATTGAAAAACCTATGTGAGCATGTTCCAATTTCACAACCACAACCTGTCGTCGGCCTTCTTATATCGCAAACGGCTTTGCTGCCTTACGACTTGGTTCTACCAGGTTGTAGCGCTTCATGTAACTAGGTTGATAGATATACACATCGGAGAACATGTAGTAGTATTAATCCGGAAATTGTTGAGAGCGAAGATGCAAAACGTTTTCACACAGGCTCATTGAAAAAACCCCATAGTGCACGGTTCTTCCTCTAAGAACTTCTTATTCATTCTCTGATTAGACACAGCGACACGAGTTCTTCTACTCTTATTTACATAAGTGGACGTTAAATATTTTTGAAAACCTGAAGTTAAGTATACTTTCACAATTAAGGATCACTGCAATTTTTTGAATAGCGCAATCATTTCGGAATGATTGGCTTCTACAAACGTGAAGTATTCCAAAATATAGTTGTAATGAAATCTTAGCGATTCCTTTTGGCACGTTTAAAAGTAGCTAGCCGAGCAGAAGATTTTTCTCGTGGCCTGCTGTGACCCATCAGTTTAGAATTATAAGAGGTATAACAGCAATTCCGCTTTCATTTTGTAGAAATCGTCATAAAGTATTTATTACCGCTCAGCTTGTTTTTGATGTATATTATTTCCAACATGCTGCTGTAGGCAAAATTAAGAAGGGTTAGGTAAAATTATGAGAAGTTTTATTATAGGAATTCCCCACTTACTTTTCTGAGTGGTCCGACTGGACAGCGTGTACAAAGGCCGGCGAACGCCAGATCCGTCGACGTAAGTGTCTGAATTTGCGTCGTTGTCTCGGCGCCCTTATGCAACTCCGTAACTGTCCAGCAGTCCTACCGGATCCAGTTCGTGAGTTTATACGTTTGGTGAAAAGACAAAAAGATACGACATTACTTGACAGTATTTAGAATCCGGCCCTATCAAATCTGTTCGCTCCGTAATCGACGTGCCAAGAATTCCGGACTATGATGAAACAGATGGTACGGTGTATCGTAGTGGTTTATGAAATTCTCGTGGACTGTTCGAACATGTTAGAATTCTAACCACAAGAATACATGCTATGAATTTGACTTAGTAATACTTCATGATCACAAGGTTAGTACTGGTAAAGTAGTCAGTCGGTCTACAAAATTTACGGAATACTGGTGAACCAACACTAACAAATTGCGTTGATGAGTAAGTGATGCCTAATTTTATAGAGCGATTTTTGGTTTCCAACGTAGTAATAATTTTTTTAAAATTTTCCGGCGATCAATTCGTAGTTAAACCCTCTACGTCATCCGTTCAACCAGAAGCAGTATGGAGCTCTTGGCAAGGAGTGTGCCAGGTATGCGCTCAGCGTTCTCATAAAACGTTTCTGGTTTCTTAAATATTGTTTTCGAGGATGCCGACTGCTTAATTTTTCTTTAATTCACATAACTCATCATCATATTAACTGTGTGGATTCCAGTACTTCTTGCATTCAATTCGTTTCCTCTCACCCAACATCCACAAAGGTCTTCGAACATTTCTCGTGTTGTTTCAACACCTGCTTGAGAATTTCGTCTTCTTTACGAATGTCGTAGAATGCTGGTCGAGTCAATTTTCCTTATAATCTTCGAAATAGCCCTGCTAAGGCGTTCCCACGTGAACTGAAGGAGAACGTTGGGGCAGGAATCGAACTAGCGCCTTTACTTCCTGATCGACCTCATCGTTAACTACTGCGCTCTCACAGCCCTGTCGAATGGCTATAGCACCCTTATTCGAATTGCGCTTGGAAACTGGATTGGTCATATCTGCATTGGCAATCGATCACGCACTCCTTCAAACGTTCGAGCACTATTCCAACATCACCGCCTAGATGCAACTTGCACAAGATCGTAGCATAAGTATACATTTTTTAACACATTTGTTGTTGTCGTTCAGTGTTGAAGGTCTCCATAGCAACTTAGAAACCAGTGAATATACGAAAACTGTCCTGAAAACACCCCTTTAGACTACAGCTAATGGTTCAATAAACACAAAAGGAAACGATAAGTAAATCTGAAATGCTAGTATTATTTTGATGAATTCCGATAAGTGCCTCTAACAAAGTCTTGTGGCTTAGTTAAAAGACGATTTGATACTGGTTTCATGATCATTTACTACTTTTGCGAAGTTGTGAGGATTCTAATGGGTCTTCAACACAATGTAAAACAATATCATCGAATGCGGCATGATATCATAGTGTAGCTTTTGAACGTTGTATCGCTACAGCACTTCCTATTAGAAGGTTTCAAAAATGAATTTCAGCTTCCGTTGCTCAGCAGTTTTTTTGCTACTTTAGAGTTTTATCTATGATAGATAAACAAAATTGAAATAATTCTAGGCCACAAGAATCTATTGTTCTGTTGTCTATGCCTTGCTATTAAATGTCAATTTCGGTTTTCGGAAGACCATTATGTTGAAGATCAAAACACTAGGGTATTATGCTGATCCTGTCTATTTTAGCAATATTTTCTAATATTTGCCGTAAAAATGGGGTATAGTGGTTCCTTCCAAAACACCGAATTTTTCGAAGCAGCTGCTTGTTTGCATTATGTAGAACTTCGTATCGTCATTTGCACATCCTGTTCTAACATGATTTTTACACCCTTCTAAAATACTCGTCAAATAGATTTCAAATTGGAGCTCTCCTATGAGCCATTGTCAAGCAATGCGAAAGCCGATTTGATTTCGTCTTGTCGCTTGCAACAGCTTTTATAGGTGGCCACGATAACGTCATTTGTTTAAACTAATCTAATTTTAGTCTAAGGCTACGTTTATACGTAATCCAAATGTAAGTAACAGCCGAAGCGTTAGCATTAATTGCTAAATCGTAAATGAGCCGAAAAGCGTGCATTTCTCGTTTAGTGTTAGATAGACAATGACTTATGAGACCAAGAAACTGCAACATTTTCTCTTGCTTTACAACAAAAATTTCGTTACTTTCTTTAGATTTTCCAGACTTTCTTAGATCCTTTGAAGACTGTTATCCCATATCGTGCCTGGGAGATGTTCCTGGATGTCGGGCCACGATGTACAGCGGTGGATTCATCCCTCTGGCAGGGTCTTCCATGCTGAGAAAGAGCCCAGCTTATTCGTCAGGAAGCTCGATTAAGAGAAAACCAACACCAGGATCCACCACCGCCCTCGTATCGAACTGATCGATTGGTGTAAAATCTCACTCTGGTCCACAGGGGTGACCACTGTCTGTGGTGGTGACGACCTGGGGGAGATTTTGGCCTGGCTAACCTCGGGACTCCAGGGAATCACATTGGTTAAGTCAGTACAACTGCGAAAAAATGGAGATGATGCTGGGGCTCGCACAACCAGTAAAGGCGGGCCATCCAAGTATCGAAGTAATTAGTACCCTATTTCATGAGTACACCATTTAGTGCTTATAATGTAAACATTCAACACTTTTGCACCATCTATCGAGCACTTTTTATGAGGCGTAATTGAAGCTTGTTAATGACGTAAAAAATATCGATGCTGCAGTCTTCTTATTGAGAAATAGTCTGGGTTAGGTAACACAGACACGATTCAGGTTTTGCGATTAATAACGTAACAGAGCAGAATCAGCAAGAAATCCATTAGAAGTTATTCGAAAGAATTGTTTTCGTCTATTCCCGAAAGTACTCAATGTGCTCCGTGTGCCATTGTGTTAAACAAGAATTGCTTCTAAGGCTGTGAAATCGAACATATTCATTGAGTACTTCCCAGTTATCTAGAACAAAGCTCACCTGCATGTTTAGCGAAATGATCATACGTCGCGCATAAATCCTTGTTTGAATGGCTTCATATAGTCATATTTCACTGAAAAGTTTTCATTAGATGACTAGTTTTGCATTTTCCTTAATGACATAACTGCGCGATAGGTTGAGGGCATTACAGCATTTCGGAACTTGTCCCATTTAGTGCCTCGTACGTACCACCGCCACCGCCACCGCCGTCGTCGCCGGCGAGATCGTTAAGTGGCATCGCAACGTATAGCAGCGTAAAGTGTGCATGTCCTCAATATTCGCATCCGGGAAGCAGTCCATATATGAACGTTGTGCCTGTGAATTTATATGATCAGCTTCAGCGTCAAACACTCTGTACACGAATTCCTTCCATTTAGCGTAAACCATTAATATTTCAGCATTTCGTTTCCGCTCAGCCATGTAACAACGGTGAAATGATCGGGTTCGAGTCTCGTGAATGTATTGCCAAAGATCCAAGCCTTTGCGAAGGTCCATTCTTCAGATACTGCACTTTACCTTGTTAGGCGATATCGTAGTGTTGACTTCGTCATCAGGTAATAATAACTGTTATCTACTTTAAATATTGGAAGTGAACTATACCCTGTACTGTTTAAGCGTTACGTCTTTCAGTAGAATGGAGAACATTCATAGGTGCAATGATAAACGTATTTGTCAGTTCTTCGCATTTGATATGGGTGTATCTTAAATCGATGTGACATAAATTCTGGAATTCATCGAAATAAACATTGTTTGGAGTTTGGTGATGTTTACGTAAACATTGTTAACAGCCAAAAGCTTTTTAATTTATTAGAAATAATCACAAAAGTCTAGTGGACAGTATTAATCTCTTCGTGTTGACATTAGTACCATGTAACACAATGCGAAAAACCGCAGATTTCTTTAGTTCTATTGATAAAGTTGACATATTGTTTATAATCGCTGGTTTACTTAAGTACAAAAGCACGATTCGAAAGGTGTACAGTTGTTTTTAGACCTATCCTCAAGAAATGACTAGACGATTAGTGGGAGTACGCAAACTGAATAGGTCAACGCTTCGTCATAGTTTTAGGCTGTTCGTCTAAACCATAGTAAACGGCTAGCATTGAAATGTTAATGAAATGATGGAGAAATTCATCGAAATATGCGATCATTTGTCCTATATCCTGAATATCGTCTCATATTCTTCCACGTATTCAAGTGCAATGGGAACTTTGGAGCCTACCAGCTGTGATCATTGTAAAACAAGAAAACAAAACAGTTGATACCATAACTCTCACGTCCGACTTGCTATTAACCTCGGTTTTGATTGAATAATTCTTTCTACTTTTATTCGCAAACACGAGGTGTTATTTTATTTCTTTATTTACGTACAAGCTGACGTTTCAGCCGATTTCGCCCTCCTCAGAGCCTGGAAAGGTACCAAGTTGACTGCAATCTCCAAGCCCAAACACCTCCATAACCAAAAGGAGAAAATGCTGAACCGAATTTCAATCATATTGTACACAGTCTTTGCACACTCACCGCTTTCTATAAGTCTTCCACTAAATATGTCACGTGGACACCAACCACACAGGGTTCACATGGAGTCGTAATGTGCCCATCTCATTAGAATAACAGCCTTATATACTGCCTAAATATCACGCGTGATAATGAGGCATTCCCCCCTGCGGTTCATTTTCGGATTCTTGGAATTATTCCAGAATGCCACTAGAGTTTTGCGCACTTGTGTTCTCGATTCTTGCGCGAAGATCGTAGCCTCTACTTCAATCTTCTCCGTTGTGCCTCTGCGTCTCACACGTGCCTAGTGGTGTATCTGGTTTACGTTTGCAGACTAGGTGTTCTTTTATACGGACGCAGAGTGGTCTACCCGTTTTGCCAATGTATTCGTCCTCACACGCTTTACAAGAGATCAAATAGACTGTATCCGAACTCATGCAGTCACCGTTTCTACTGAGACTGGAAGCAGTTCTAGGATCCGTTAATTTCTAATTTGTGCAAAAAGCAATATATCTGATCGTTCGTATCAAAATCCGTGGCAATTAGACCTTAATGGATCGAAACACACTACCATTACTCCGAGCGACACCGAATTTCGTAGTATTGTAGTGGAAGTTAGCGACATTAGTAAAGACTGAAAACAGTTCTGGGAACCATTAAGATCTAGTTTGTGCAAAAAGCAATATATCTGCTCTCTACGTAACAGAATAGTAGAGTAATAAGAAAAGAATAAGGATAATAATATTATATTATATATATAATTTATCACTATTATATATTATTATATATTATATTATATTATCAGAATAATATGTTTCCAGTAGTAGATACCATATTCAAATGAAGTATAGTACATTACCTTCAGAAAGTAAACGCTGAGATTCGCTATATAGCATTTCGTTCTTCTTTCCATCCGCGTAGTCCATGCCCTTTCCTACACATACATCTGGTGGATTCGAATTCATACATACATCGGATCGATGGTGAGGGACATTTCACAGTGATGGGGGAACGCCCACGCTTTTTGAGTTGACACAATGCATAGCCGCTGTTGATGGAATGATGACGACCATTTGAACCGGTAGCGTCATTACAGTAACATCACATCATTCATTACTGTTAAGTGTTAATAGAGCTGCAGTACATAGTAGATAATAGAAAGATGGAACATTCGTCTATGAATAAAAAACTCCGTGAGTTTAAAGAATTCTTGTTGATTTCTGTCAATGTTCCGATTCAGATCATACTTCCTCAAGTAGGGTGTTTTATTAACATCTCAGCATAAATATTCTTCTCTTGCTAACTTATATCATAACAAGTGAATTGGAAATTTTGAAAAAAGCAGATGTCCGACATTTAAGTTTGTTACTAGATACTATTTAAACCGATAGACTTTATAGGACGAGAAAAGTTTCCTCTGCTGAAAATATGAGCTTCATCTTGTGAGAATAATTTTTGGACAGACACCAAATAGAATGGTATGGTGAATGATATCAACGAAAACGGATTATTTCATTCCTTATAGCTCTTTTTCTTCTCCGAATATATGCTCACTTTATCAAATACTGTCCGCGAAGAATTCGCTATGAACGTGTGCGAAGATGAATGGACTCCACCCCATCCTTCTTTTATCGATATGGTTTTGAATCATCAGAACACGTGATATACCCATCCTACAGCTTTTATCATACATTTGGCCAACTATAATAAATTTGAACAGGAAGCTTGAATAAGTGATAATGCAAAACTATAGAATAGTTTTGATTTCGAATTATCATAACAACTGGTGAAGCAACAGATGTTTATGTCAATCCTGCTTGATACACCTGCCATTTCTTAAGCTTTCAAACTCATAACGGTTCACTTTTTAAAAGACTACCTGTGAAAAAAAATTAGGACCCATCTTTTATCGCACACTGTAGGCATTTCCGCAAACAACAACAGCAGCAACAACAACAACAACAACAACAACAACAACAACAACAAAACTTACAGCTGAGACATTATAAATGAAGAGGTACGGAAAGATGGGGTCGAAAGTAACGAAGAGTTGTGACGAAATGTTCTGTTTTCATTTCACATGTTTTCCTTTCCAATCAACACCTAATACAAGCCAGTCCGAACCCTGCTTCCACTACCCTAGTGTGTTCTTTTGCAACTTTTAGCGAAAATATGCCTATTAGACTCATTGGTTAGCCATTACTAATTCATCAGAGTCCTCTCAAATGCCTCTTATACTGTATTAATTGAAAGTTATTAAACTAATACCAAATTAGCAGCTATTGTTGCTAAAGCAGCTGAGAGCAGTGTTGACGCTAGCATAACGGGATACCCAACAATGCGTGCTTAAATCTTTTGCTACGCGCTGACTTAACTATCGATAAGTTTCTAGTAGCTAAACATTCCATAACCAGATGGCTTGATAGGATTATAGAACAAACCTTGGTGTACATAAATGACTCGATAAAACTAAAGAGAAAGTTAAATTTTTAACATTCTCAACATAGGCGCGGCAGTCACAGACACCAGCGATGCATTAGCGAACACCATAATACCGTGCTGGGTTAAATGTTGCTTCTTAAATTGTTCTCGCAATCTAAGCTTCAATGAAAAAAAGTGAAAAAAATACACTTTGGGAGCTCTGAAACACTATAATTTAGAGCAGTTACAATGAGAAGTAGTTGACCCACTGAAGTAAATGCTTAGTATTGCGAAAATGCTTTTATATAGAATATGCATATAGGATACAAATAGAGTTTACAGTCGCTCTACGTTTTTCAATGTATAAAAGAGGTACTCTGCCTTTTCTGGTGGTGCGTACATTTTCTCCATTAGCAATATTCGGCACCTAACTAGCTCAATCCCTCATGGAATGTTCAAGAATCGCTTTTAAAAATGCCACTTTTGAAGAAATTTGAACTTTCCCACAAATGAGGAGACAGTTCGGAAACCGTCCATTGTGCGCTAAGAGTGGATTAACTTCTTCAGTAAGGACGTATTGTCCATTGACTACCACTTTGCATCGTGGCATTGATGTGGTCGCATACGGCGGATTGAATCAAACAATCCCACTGACGGGTCTAAGCATCATCTCTCTATTATACTATGATTTGCCCACCACCTCTTTCAATACCCGTAGTGCTAATCTTCCATCTCGATGTCTCTTCTCGATGAGAGATAACGCAAAAAATAGCACAACTCTAAAAAATGTTCCGTCGTGAAGATTATAATGGAAAGAAAAACAGTGATATTACAACCACCATGACAAAATTTGTAACGAATGGAATTTCTAAGCTTCACTCTTTCTTGTTGCATAAAGTGTTTGCTTTTATAGGGTTTGCCTAAACGTTTTTCAACGCTTGTCACAGAGACTGAAGAAATATAACCTTGCGCTCTTGTTCTCTACCATTTTCTCAGTAAATTTATTACATCCTATCATAGGACTATTACAATTTAGTGTGGTAACACTTGAAGAAGTTGAAAATCGAAAACAAATGTAACAAATTTCACACGGAGACCTCGGTTAGAGTGAGAGAATGCATTGAGAAGTACCGCTCATTCAAACTAGTATTTTAACTTTTATACTATCTAAAAAATTCTATTTCAATTACGTAATCGTTTGGAGGTGTTTGGCCTTGTAGATTGCAGTCAACTTGACCTTCTCAGGCTCTGAGGAGGGCGAAACGGCCGAAACGTCAGCTTGTACGTAAATAAAGAAATAAAATAACACCTCGTGTTTGCGAACAGAAGTAGAAAGAATTATTCAATCAAAGCCGAGGTTAATAGAAAGTCGGACGTGAGAGTTATGGTATCAACTGTTTTGTTTTCCTATTTTACAGACAATGATCACAGCTGGTACGCTCTAGAGTTCCCATTGCACTTGAATACGTAGAAGAATATGATTACGATTACGTAATTGATGAAGAATTAATCGAACATCGTTATAATTGAAATTTATGCGTACTTCGTTGCTAACAAGAGGACTGTAACAGCTGGCTTCATAGAATGTGAGCAATTTCACAGCTGG